TAAGCATTTCAAAGAACATTGCCGGGCCAGGGTTTAATCTGTTTAGAAAAACAAATCATTTACTGAAAAAGTGACTACTAAAGAGGGACCAGGTACCACTCGCAAGGAATGAATATTGCTTGTATAGACTAGAAAAGCTCTTATCCATCCCTTTTCTCATAACAAAGGACCCAAACTAGTTTGGGTTCCTAAATCTAACCCATAATTTATATGTGCAAGGAACAGTGAGAGGAAGCGGACTGCAATGGTTCATGAATAATAGATGCTAAAAGCACATGGCTGGAAACACCATGGATTTTCTCTCACTGAAAGCCCTGCAGGGAAGGGAGTGTATCCTTTGACCAGGTACCACTCGCAAGAAATGAATATTGCTTGTATGGACTAGAAAAGCTCTTATCCATCCCTTTTCTCATATCAAAGGACCCAAACTAGTTTGGGTTCCTAAATCTAACCCATAATTTATATGTGCAAGGAACAGTGAGAGGAAGCGAACTGCAATGGTTCATGAATAATGGATGTTAATAGCGCATGGCTGGAAACACCATGGATTTTCTCTCACTAAAAGCCCTGCAGGGAAGGGAGTGTATCCTTTGAAAAAAAGGGGGGGGGGTACATTCTCGGTGTTGGAAAAGTTGTAAAGTCTCTTTCACACTCAATTAAGAATGTGTACTATGTGGATTACTTGAAGTACAGTCTCTTGAGTGTTTCTCAAATCTATGATAAAGGGAACAAAGTAGAGTTCTTATCAAAAGTGCGCACAGTTACCAATCTGGTGAAGTGGTCTTAGTAGCCAAAAAAATACAAGAACATCTATGTCGCTGACTTTAAATCTTTACAAGTTGGTGATATGAGTTGTTTGAAGGCAATTGATAATGATGCAGGACTTTGGCATAAAAGATTGGGACATGCAAGCTTCTCACTTCTAAATGAACTGATTCAGAAGGACCTGGTTCGTGAGTTACCAAATTCAAGATTTACCTGGACACTGTTTCTTAGAACAAAGAAAGAGACTTTTGAGGTATTTGTGACATTTGTCAAGAAGATCCCAGTGAAGATGGAATTGAAGGTAGCATGTATCAGATCTGACCACGGGACAAAATCTGTCAACACCAAATTTGATGAGTCTTGTAATGAAAATGGGATCACTCACAACTGCTCAGCACCAAGAACTCCACAGCAAAATGGTGTTGTTGAAAGGAAGAATAGAACTCTGAAAGACATGGAATGGACAATGCTCATCGATAGTGGAATCGCCAAAAAATTCTGGGCAGAAGTAGTAAACACTGCTTGCTACTTGGTGAATAGGTGTATGATCAGGTCCCTCCTAAGAAAACCCCCTATGAGCTGCTCAAATGGAAGAAAACCAAAGATAACTCATCTGAGAACCTTTGGATGTAAACAATATGTTCTCAATAATGGGAAGGACCAGCTTGGGAAGTTTGATGCAAAAAGCAATGAAGGAATCCTTCTTGAGATATTCCTCTCAAAGCAAAGTCTACAAAGTCTGCAACAAAAGGACACAATGTGTGGAAGAAAGTGGTCATGAGCTATTCAACAAGACTCCCTCTTCTAACAAGGGAGGAAACAATGATGATCAAGATAATGAACCACTTTTTATTCTTGGGAAGTATTTGATGTTTCAAATGGAAAGGCTGATATGATGAGTCAGATGAAGAAGACAGGTGAAGACAATGCAACATCTTCTCTCACTTCTCAAGAGGAACCCGATACTTCAATTACCATCACTGAAGCTAAAGAAAGAATTGGAGATGCATTGCAAGGTACTCCACAAGTAGCAAAACAAGGAGTGCAAGAAAATCCACTTAATTTACTCAGTTCCTCTAATAATCAAACTTCAGTCCCCAAGTGGAAACACAAAAGCTCCCATTCACTTGATAACATAATCACCCCCCTTGATTCTGGATTCAGACAAAATCAAAAGGTAGAAATTCCCTAGCTTTCTCTGTATTTCTATCCCAGATAAAACCCAAAAAATTATCAAGGAAGCCTTGAAGGATACTGGCGGGCATTCAGCAATGCAAGAGAAACTGCATCATTTTGAAGGAAACAAGGTTATCTGGTGGTCAAGAAGAGCACATCTGGAATGACTCATTCTATTAGATCATGCTTAATCTCATGGGGTACGAGGAAATACAACCTATTAGTTCTCTCAACAGCTGAATAAGACGCTCTTAACATGGCAAAGAACCCAGTCTAGCACAAGAGGCCCAAACACGTTAATGACAGATATCTTTGTCTCAGAAATAATGTTTAAAAGGGACTTATTTGTATGAGATTTTGCTGCACAAGAACATCAAATTGCAGACATCTTTACCAAAGCATTAAGCGGGGAACATTTTCAAAGAAACAGGGTGAAGCTAGGGCTATTGAAGCTTAATTGAGAACCTAATACCTCATCAATTGGCAATGAAAATCATCTTTAGGTAAAACTAGCTAAAGTGTTTTCTGGCCAAGCCTAACTCACATCGATATCGTTGCAGGTAAACACACATGATGATCATAGAAGCTAAAGGTACAATGCTGAACTGTGAAAGAAGAGCTGCTAAAATCTTTTTCAAAAACCGTTCGGGAATCAGGTCCCTGTTCCACAAGTTAGTAGTAATGTGTTTGTTTTTTTGCAAGCTTTCTCAAAAATGGTTAACAAAATTAATTTAACTGTCACATCATCCGACTTTTTAGAGTCTGCATGTCATGTCTTATCTTTCAAATCCCCTCACCTCCTCTGCATGTTACGTATTCCCACAAACCTACAGCTGTTTCAAAACCCTTCAGAACCCGTTTCTATCCCATCTCATCATTAGCTCTTCTTCCCTTAAAGCTCTTTCTCTCACAGCAGTCTTGAATCTTTATCTCCTTTGTATCTCTGTGATCTTCTCTTAACCTCTCTCTCACTCTAATTCCCTACCAAATCCTCCTATAATGGCAAACAAAAAATCTCTTCCTTCTCCTACCATCAACACTACTCCCACTTCCCTATCATCCTTAAAGTCATCTATAGAAATTCACTCTTCCACTATTCCTAATACTACTGAACCCACACCTGTTTCCTCCTCATTTCCTATTGTTTTTCCTTCTCCATCAAACTCTGTTTCCCTTCTATGTGTTGAAAACCCCATGTCTCCCCTTCTTCTGATCTCACCAAAGAACACTCAGGAAGTGTTACCTCTTAGGTGTCAGCGGTCTCTGAGGATGATCTTGATCAGTATCTGAACTCCTCTATTTTGGACTCAGTGGTCTTTGATAGGTTTCAAATGTTCTTGCCTTATGTTTTGATGATCTAACAAACTTACTGTTAAGAACCAGATAGGGAACCTGACCTACTCGGACTACACTGCAAACTTAATAAACTCCAGCTAAAGGTGAATTGCTATAGCCTCAGGAGCTAGGAACCCAAACAAGGATCTGATACCCTTGTGGTTCCCTCATCACAGTACAAGTCAATTGGTCATAACTAGAAATGAAGTGACTGACTGCACTATCTTCAGTGCCCACTCATTCTCTGACCAACTAAAGTGCTCACGTCATTTCAAGTGATGTGTTTAAAGTGTACCTACAATGAGTTTATACAAAACATCACTTGAAGGTTTCAGTTTCTCATTCAAGCTTCTTGCCAAAAATAGAGAAATCAATCCTCACAAGCTTGAAGAACAAAGTTGAATGCAACTATGGACCAGTTCCTAAAAGATAGCTTGTTGTTGTCCTAGTTGAGTTGTAGCTCTGTGATTGTACTTATTGTATCTCCTAAACTGCTTAGTTAGAAGCGTTTGATTAGGAATTCTCTTATAAATCTGTAAACTCCTTGAGTTTATGTTGTGACTAGGTTTAGTCATAAGCAAAAGTCTTTGTAATCATAGAGTTACAAAGTATCTTGTGGTGAGAGTATCACAAGTTAGTAAAAGTCTTTGTAACTAGGAAGTCAAAAAGTGGCTTGTGGTAAGAGTACCACAAGTTAGTTGAGTAAATTCTTTGTAATGGAGTCATTCCAAAGTGACTTGTAATAAGATTTTACAAGTTAGTGAAGTTGAAAGCCTACATGTGTAGGTCGTGATTTTTTGATCCCCTTGTGTGGGATTTTTCCACATAAAAATCTGTTGCCTTATTTACGTACTGCTTTATTAGGATTCTCAGCAGAATCTCGTAGAGGATTAGGTACTCTACTGTCTGGTGGACTCACACATTTAAACAATTGGTATCAGTGCAGATTTCTCCTATCAGGCTAACACCTAGGATGGATCCTCATGGCTGCTCCCCCAAATTTTGAAGAAGGTCAGGTTACATACTGACCACCCAATTTCAATGGTCAATACTATGGGTGGTGGAAAACAAGAATGCACGATTTTTTCATGGCTGAGAATTGTGAGTTATGAGATATCATATGTGATGGTCCTTATGTTCCAACCAAGGTACTAGAGGAACTTCCATTTGCAATGGAAAAAACCAGCAAAGAGTATACTGAAGCAGACAAGAAAGTTGTGGAGAAGAATTTTCGTGCAAAGAACATTCTGGTATGTGGAATAGGACCTGAAGAGTACAATTAAATCTCCACCCCCGATACTGCCAATGAGATATGGGAAGCTTTGCAAACAGCTCATGAGGGAACTACACAAGTAAAACAGTCTAAGATTGATATGCTCACTACCGAGTATGAACTCTTCAAAGTGAGGGACGATGAATCCATTCAAGATATGCACACAATATTCACTTCCATCATAAATGAGTTACACTCACTTGGTGAAACTATTCCCAGAAACAAGCTAGTAAGAAAAATCCCCAGTTTTTTGCCTAGCTCTTGGAAAAGCAAAGTGAATGCTATCACTGAATCAAAGGACCTACAGGAGCTTACTATAGAAGAGCTGATCGGAAACTTGAAGACCTATGAGTTGAAGAGAAAGATAGACAGTGAAAGAAGAGAACCAAAGAAGGAAAAGAACCTGGTACTTAAAGATGATAACAATGATTTTAGTGAGGAAGACAGTGACATGGCTTACTTAACTAAAAGATTTCAGAACATGGTCAGAAGAAATGGAGAAATGCTAAAAAGAGACAACTCTAGTAAACCAAAAAATTGTGATCTTTGTTACAAGTGTGGAAAGCCTGGACACTTCATGAAAGATTGTCCTCTCTTGAAGCAAGAATTCTCCAAGAACTACCATGAGAAAACAGCTAAGATGAACCCTGTTCATTTCAAGGAGTTCAAGAGAAAAAGATCCGCTGACAATATGATGAGACAGGATCTTACAGCATGGGGGAATTCCTCTAGTGGGTCTGAAGATGAACCTTATACTAGTGATAGTTCTATGATGACAGTTGAAGGTGAGGAGACTGGATATGACTCAACTTCTACTTTGATGCCTCAATCAGATGATGATGAAGACAATGGCAACAAAGATGTAAATTTTAGGGATGTTTAGAGAAATCTGAAATCCTATTCTCCAAAAAAACTCATGTCATTAGCTGATGTATTAGTCACCGCTTTTCATAGTCTTGTGGAGGATAGGGATTCTTTGTCCTTAGAATTAGGAGAATCTAAACAAACTAGAGACGAGTTAGTGGCTGTAGTTACTGACCATAAGAAAACCATTGAAATCCTCAAAAAAGAAAGGAATGATCTGTTGGCAGAAATTACAGACCTAAGGGAAATAATAGTGAAACCATGGACTAAGTCAAAACCTGAAAATTCTGGAAAAAGAAAGGAGATAGACAGTGAGGAACACATTAGGCATGAAAATGAGGTGAAAGCAATGAGATCTAGGATGTGTGCTGAAATTGAAAAAAATGAGCAACTCTAAACTAATCTAGAAAGAGTAAAGAATGATCTTGAAAAGTCTCTAAAGTGGACCTGGTCCTCAGAAGCTACCACTACCTTGCATAATAATGTTTGTGAAAAAAGGCAAGGAATAGGTTCCAAAGGGAGAAAACTCCTCACAACCCTCATAGTAAGTACGTCACTATCTCTGATAACTGGCCTTGTACCCAATGTGGGAACACTGGGCGCTTCAAGAAAGATATTCAGGCCAAGAATCAATCGGTTCAGAAAAATAAAGTGTTTACTGAAAAGGTGACTACAAAAGACGGACCAGGTTCCACTTACAAAAAATGCACATTACCTACATGAACTAAGAGAACTCTTATTCATCCTCTTGCCTACTACAAGGGACCCATACTTGCTTGGGTTTCTAAAACTAACTCTTGATCTCATATGCAGGGAACAGTGAAAGGAAGCGGTCAACAATGGTTCATGGATAGTACGTGTTCAAAGCACATGACTGAAAACACCATGGACTTTCTTTCACTAAAAGCCCTGCAAGGAGGGAGTGTATCTTTTGGCAATAGTAAAAAGGGGTAAATTCTTGGAGTTGGAAAAGTCGGGAAGTCAGTCACTCATTCTATTGAAAATATGTACTATGTCAATGGCCTTAAGTACAGTCTCTTAAGTGTCTCTCAAATTTGTGATAAAGGAAACAAGGTGGAATTCTTGTCCAAAATATGTACAGTCACTAATCTTGTGATCGATGAAATAGTACTTGTGGCCAAGAGATATAAGAACATCTATGTCGTTGATTTTGAGTCCTTACAGAGTGGTGATCTGAGTTGTCTGAAAGCTATTGATGATGATGCTGAACTATAGCACAGAAGACTGGGCCATGCAAGTTTTTCTCTTCTGAACAAACTAATTCAGAAGGACCTGGTCCATGGTCTGCCTATGTCACAATTCAAGATGCAAAAAGTCTGTGATGCCTATGCTAGAGGAAAACATGTGAAGTCCTCTTTTAAGTCTAAAATAGATGTGAGCACCTCAAAGCCACTAGAGCTTCTGCATATGGATCTGTGTGGACCTATGAGAGTGCAGAGCAGAGGAAGAAAAAGATACATTTTTGTGATAGTAGATGACTACTCCAGATTCACATGGACTCTGTTTCTCAGAACCAAAGATGAAACTCTTGAGGTGTTTATGGCCTTTGTGAAGAAAATCCAGGTAAAGATAGAGTCTAGAGTCGCATGCATTAGATCAGATCATGGGATAGAATTTGACAATGTCAAATTTGATAAATTCTGCAATGAAAATGGCATCACTCATAACTTCTCAACTCCCAGAGCTCCCCAGCAAAATAGAGTAGTAGAAAGGAAGAACATAACCCTGGAAGAAATGGCAAGAACAATGTTGATCGACAGGGGAATTGCAAAGAACTTCTGAGCTGAAGTTGTCAGACAGGTGCATGATCAGATCACTTCTGAACAAAACCCTATATGAATTGTTGAATGGAAGGAAACCCAAGCTGATTCACCTAAAAACATTTGGGTGCAAATGCTATGTTCTCAACAATGGAAAGGATCAGCTTGGTAAATTCGATGCCAAGAGTGATGAAGGAATATTTCTAGGCTATTCTTCTCAAAGCAAGGCTTACAAGATATATAATAAGTGGACTCAATGTGTTGAGGAAAATGTCCATATTATTTTTGATGAATCTTATCCATCATATCAGAAGAGTGCTGAGGAAGATCAAGATGGAGAACCCTTACTAGTCCTTGGTGAAGTCATTAACATGACAAACGGAAAGGCAGATATGATGAGTCAAGTAAGGAACTAAATGAAGACAACACTGCCTCATCTTCAATAGAACCAAGCACCTCAATTAAAACCACTGAAGCTGAAGAAAGAGTGGTTGATGTAGTTCAAGGAACTTCACTGGAACATGAGAGAAGGACAGAGGAAAATCAGCCAAACATACCCTCTCCCTCTCAGAATGAACCTCAAGCGTCTAACTAGAGACACCAAAGTTCTCATCAAATAGACAACATTATTACTCCTCTAGATTCTGAAGTACAAACCAGGTCAAGATCCAGAAATTCACTTGCCTTCTCAGCCTTTCTCTACCAGATAGAATCCAAAAATATCAAGGAAACCTTGAAAGATGCAGATTAAATTACAGCCATGCAAGACGAGCTACATCAGTTTGAGAGAAACAATGTGTGACACCTGGTGCCTAGACCCCCCAGATCAAACCATTATAGGAACCGGGTGGGTATTCAGAAACAAGCTCGATGAACATGGAATTACCACAAGGAACAAGGCCAGGCTAGTGGTCCAAGGCTACAATCAGGAGGAAGAGATTGACTATGATGAAAGATTTGCTCCAGTGGCTCGCATGGAAGCTATTAGAACTCTAATCGCTTTTGCATCTCATATGGAATTCACCTTGTTCCAAATGGATGTGAAGAGCGCATTTTTGAACGGACTCCTTAAGGAAGAAGTCTATGTGAAGCAACCCCCAGGGTTTGAATGCCATGAGTACCCTGAATATGTGTTCAAACTGGACAAAGCTCTGTATGGGTTAAAGTAGGCTCCTCGAGCTTGGTATGAAAGGTTGTCAAAGTTCCTCTTGGAAAATGGCTTTAAAAGAGGGAAAATTGACAACACTCTTTTCTTAAAGAAACGAGGAAGGAAACTGCTCATTGTTCAGGTCTATGTTGATAATATCATTTTTGGAGCAACAACTGATTCTATGTATGAAGAATTTGTAAAACTCATGGGAAGTGAATTTGAAATGAGCATGATGGGGGAACTGAACTTCTTCTTGGGACTTCAAGTAAAACAGTCCCCAAAAGGTATATACATTTGTTAGCAAAAAAAAAATCAGGGAGCTCTTGAAGAGGTTTGACATGGAAGCATCAAAGGTGATAGACACTCCCATTGCTACTACCACTCGACAAGACATGGGTGAAACTGGATCTCCTATGAATCAAACCATGTATAGAGGCATTATTGGGTCTCTCCTCTATCTCACTACTAGCAGACCTGATATGGTTTTTAGTTTGGGCTTGTGTGCAAGGTTTCAATCAAATTCCAAGGAATCTCACTTGAAGGCTGCCAAAATAATACTGAGATATCTCAAAGGAACACATGACCTGGTGTTGTATTATCCGTCAGGTGATAATTTTAATCTGATTGGGTATGATGATGCAGATTATGCAGGTTATCTTATGGATAGGAAAAACACTTCTGGAATGGCTCACTTCTTAGGTTCATGTCTTATCTCTTGGGGCACAAGGAAGAAAAATTTAGTGGCTCTTTCAATAGCTGAAGCTGAATATATAGCCGCAACATCCTGCTATGCTCAACTGTTATAGACTAAGCAGTAACTGGAGGACTTTGGGGTACTCACTGAGAGTGTGCCCCTTCTATGTAATAACACCAGTGCACTCAACATGACCAAGAATCCAATTCAACACAAAAGGACAAAGCATATTGATGTGAGACATCATTTTCTGAGGGACAATATGGAGAAAGGGCTGATATGCATGAAGTTCTGCTGTACAAAAGATCAAATTGCAGACATTTTCACCAAGGCACTAAGTAGGGAATAGTTTGTGAGAAATAGAGTGAAGCTGGGGCTTTTAAAGCTCAATTAAGAACCTGATTCCTCTTTATCTGGCTTTCACCTTCAAGAAATAACTGGCTAAAAGTGTTTTCTGGCCATGTCTAACTCACTTCAATACCGCTGCAGGTAAACACGCATGATGAGTATAGAAGCTGTAGATGCAGTGCATGAATGATAAAAGAGGATTCATTCTTTCAAAAAAAGGGTCAAGAACTTGGTTCTTGTACCAAAGGTTAGTAGTTCTATGCATCCTTTAATACACGTCTTAAAAAGGGGTACAAAACACAACTGCTATGTCATCAACTTTTCAGATCCTGCTGTCACGTCTCTTCATTTCAATTCATTCCATATCCCTCTGAAACGTTGCAATTCTCCATGCCCAACCGCCATTTCAGAACTGGTGCCTATTCCTCTCTCTTCATAATTATCCTCTCCTCTTAATAACCCTCTTTTCTGCTCTTCCTAACAATAAGTCTTACATTAGAATTTCCCAAAAGTATCATTATACCACTTCTTTCAATGGCTGAGACAACTTCCAGTCTCCCTACCTCAGTCGTAACTACTACTGATCAATCTATGGAGCCTTCCGCTCCCACTGAGCCTTCCTCAACCACTATTACTCCTGCCACTATAGTCACCCCTCACCCAGTTTACCAGTATCTTACTAATTCTGAAACCATTAAAACTAATGCTTCGTTCTCCCCATCATCTGAGGCTCCCACCAGTCAAAGCCAAAGTGGAAAACAAGGTCAAAACCCTGAGGTCACAAAGAGTTCTGCTATCGTTGCTACCGATTTCATGGTGGTGGTAGCACCATTTAAGGAAGAGAAAAATGTTGTAACCGTGTTTGTGGTGTCTGCTGATGGTGTACTGCATGAGATCACCTCTCAGAAAAATGAGGCACAAAGTGTGGGAGAAGAAGAGGCCATTGTAACTGTTGAAGGTGATGCACTAGCAGATAATAATGGGGCATCACATGAGGAACCTGATCCCTCTCCGGAGGACCCAGGTCAGGGCCTTCATTCCCAGGA